GCAAGAGTCTAATTTTAGATGGGGTAGTTCGAGATAAGGTGGCCTGCAGGAATGACATTTGGCAGAGATATCTGCTAAATGGTTCGTGTGCACACACCCGTCTATACCCTAAAAGCATTCAGTACTCAGGCTCCTCGGCACCCTAAGGGAATGAAGAGAGTGCCGCTCCTAGAAATCCTAATTAGTTCCCATATTCCACCATTTCATAATGACCCAACATCAGAAGTCCACATGGACCCACATGTCCCAAGGATGTCTTCCTCAGACTGGGAGTTGACAAATGAACCATTCCATTTTCAACTATGCACTAGACTATCAAACCCACCCTCTTGCCCCACCAACCTCAGTGAGCCCCCTCCTCACCAAATGCTCTGGTGACTCAGCCCTATGGGACACAATGCAAAGTCAGGAGAGACAGGAGATTGGTTCTTTGACAAAGGATCTTCTACTCACTACTGAGAAGGGTTGCAGAGCCAGGGGAAATGGAGCTGACCCTGTTACTGTAAGTTTCTGGCAATTTCCCCAATACTTTCTTTGGACCAGCTTCTAGCAACAGGACTTTTTTGTCACAGAAGTGAATATCATATCCTGAAAAAAAAAAAAAAGGCAGAAGCAAAATGTTACATCATTTCAGGAAAATCAGAATTTATTCTCTTTCTCATTTACAAGAGAAGCAACAGATTAATTCCTTAGATCTTAGGATACAAATTCCCTACAGAACACACAAAAAGGAAACACCATGTGGAGTCCTAAGCAGTAACAGATATCACCATTTCAGCCACACAAACCACCGCACCCTCGGCTGTAAGGGCCTCTTCCCACAGTCCAACACCCATCACTGTGCAAAGAAGCAAATAACAGCCAAACTCCTAATAAGTGAACAGAATGCCCCAGAAAGGAAGAATGAAGAAAGGCTGTAGTAGTTAGATACTATATACACATAATCTGCAAAGTATAAGGTCACTAAAAATTAAAAATCCTATCCAATAGAAAAATGGACTTAATAAGCAAAATTCATTGTCTCAAAATTAAATCAAAAGAGTTTGTAAATGAAAAGGGGGCCAAAAAACACATCAATGTGTCTATAAATCTGGTCCTGAAACATCTGTATAGGAAAGTAAGAAGGGGACTTGGGGACTTTGTTATTGTGTGACCACAGCACAGACACAAGTTCCCCCAGAGTCTCAGAGGAAGACAGCGGTGAGGGAAAAGATAAGCAGAGAGTTGCTACTGTTGCTACTGCCAAGAAAAAAGAAAACAGGGATTACCAGAAAGTAGAAACACGGCAGGTTTTAATTAGCAATGGTGAGAGAAACCCCACAAATCTTGACCCCTCTTTTTATTTTGGCATCTAAACGAGAAGAAAGGCACTACTAACACACAACTAAGTATGAAAATCAAGGCTGGCTCTAGGCGGAGAGGCAGCGAGCGGCACTGAACCCACCAGATCAGAACAGCCCCGCAGAGGACTGCTTTGTGGTCCATCACACCTCCAGGCCTGGATCTGACGGTCCCGGCTCCAGCCGAGTGTCCCCTGCCACCTCCTCCCCACGGGTCCTGCTCGCTCAAGCCTCACCCCGCGGCAGGGTTCTTCACAGCACGCCGGTGCACCTCCACCCCCGGGATGGATCTGCTGCTCCTTCCTCTACGGTAGCTTTCATTTCATTCTTTTTTCTAATAGTTATTTATAATTTATAAATCTTCCTCCTTTGCTAGATTTCTGAATTCTTTGGGGGCCAGGATCACTTCTTTCCTTATGGCTATATATCCCCAAAAGCAAATGCTATTACCTCCTCATCCATAAAGTATATACTCACGTTTTAACAGACATTTTTGTTAAATGAGAGATCAGGAAATTAAGAGGTAAAGAATCAGATTTCCAAACACATAAAATATAGCCAGGTTCAATATTTTATTTTTTAGCTATTTAATATAATGTTTTAGGAAACTCAGAGAAAAATACTAGAGAGTATCATTTACAAATAACAATGTGGGAAGGAAATACGGATATTTCAAGTCTAAAACATAAAGTAATGTGATTTTGAAGGCGAAAATAATCAAGGAGAACATAAACTAACTTATGGGGAAGTATGAAGAGCCCATTTGAAATTTTTCACATTTAAAGCAGCTGTCAAAAATTTAGTGGATGTTGAAATATAAAGGTCAATCAGCATATAAACTATTGACAAGGAGTATTCTTTGGGATACACACCATGATGATCAAGGGGAGACATTAACACATACAAAATCCCAAGCAGGTAGTTTACTTGACTCAACAGGGACTTGTCCAGGGACAGAGTCTCCTCACATTGTTCAGTCCCATCCATTCTATGGGGAAAAGCAGAGGCTTGCTTAGTGGATAAATTGTATGAAAAATATCCAAACCTCATGTTTTAACATTCAGTATGTTCTCTTGAGCTTTTTTTCCCCCTCAAGGAAATTAGCTGGTGTGTGACTTTTTTTTTTTTTAACTACTGTTGGTAGTTTTGACTGACTTAGAGGCAGTGATTCTTACAACCTGATGTACTCAGCCCATGATCTTTCTTTGGTAAACTTACAGAGAATTCTGTATTACAAGTATCTGCTTAAAGTCAGCCTTGACTTTAAGACTTTATACTTCTGTGGAAAAGACAGAAAAATAAACAATTACAAAACAGAATCTTCTGTTTAAGCTTATAAAAGAATTGCTGCTTTTCCTCCTTGGGCTGTGGGTAGAGGGGTGAGGAAAAGAACAAAACAGGAAAGAAAAAAAAGTTACTACAAAGAAGACAGCAAAATACCCATATTAACATTAAAGTCTTAGTAAGACTAAAAAATTTTTCAGGTACATATCATACAGAATTGTATAAAAAGTTAAGAGGTAAAGTCACTACAAGACAATTAAGCTCTCTCATTTCCCAGCATTTCTCATTCTCAAAGTGTGGTCTTCAGCTCTCCTGCATACATCTCTGGAGGTATTTGTTAAAAATACAGGCTCTTGGGCCCACTGTGGGCAAACCAAATCAGAGTCACTGGAAGTGAAACCTGGGATCCTGATTCTAAAAAATATGCGCCACAAACTGGTAACAATGACTGTCTTTGAGAACTGGGTGGCTAACAATCAAAAATGGAAATCTTACTTTATATGTTCTACACAATATACCCTAACCATTTTGTATTTCAAAATTCTTTCTATGTGTTATGTAGCTGTCTTAGTTATGTAAAACCCCAAACCAAAACAAAACCAAAAAACCCAGGTGATTCTTAAATGCACTCAAGCTTGAGAACCACTACATTAGTCCACTTACTAACAGATACTACCAAAATGGTTATAAGACTAAGTTGGACTTTACGAAAATTAAAAACTTCTGTGCTTCAAAGGATACCATCAAGAAAGTGAAAAAGCAACCCATAAAATGGGAGAAAATATCTGTAAATCATTTATCTGATAAGGAGCTTATATCCAGAGTATATTAAAACAAAACAAAACAAAACACCTCCTACAACTCAAGAATAAAAAGACAAATAGCTCAATTTAAAAATGGGCTAAGGTTCTGAAAAGAAACTTCCCCAAAGAAGATATACAAGTGACCAATATGTGTATGAAAGAATATTCAACATCATTAGTCATTAGGGAGATACAAACTAGGAGATACTACTGCACAACCACCAGGATGACAACAAAAAGACAGTAACAGTGCTGTCCAGGATGTGGAGAAATTGTATCCCTCATATATTGCAGATGGGAATGATAAACGGTGCAGCCACTTTGGAACACCCACAGTTCTTCAAAATTTTAAATACTGAGTTACCATATGACCCAGCAAATCCACTCCTAGAAATATATCAAGATAACCAAAAGTACATGTTTACATAAAAGCTTATACACAAAATAACAGTAGCATTATTTGTTCTAACCCCAAAGTGAAAACAACCAAAATGTCCATCACCTGATGAATGAATAAACAAAATGTGCTATAGTCATACAAAATATTATTCAGCCATAAAAAGGAATGAATTACTGGCCCATGATACAACCTGAATGAACCTTGAAAACATTATAGATTCCATGCATATGGAAAAGTCCAGAAAAGGCAAATCTATAGAAATAGAAAGCACATGAGTGGTTGCCTAGGGTTGAGGAGACTGAGGGTACATGGGCAGTGACTATTAATGGGTTTGAGTTTCTCTTGAGGGGTGACAAAAATGTTCTAATATGTATTGTGGTGATGGCGGCACAACTCTGTGAATAAACTAAAAACCATTAAGTTATATGCTTTAAATGGATGAACGTTATGGTATGCAAATTATGCCTCAATAAAGCTGTTTAAAAAACCACCAGCACCACCTAGCTCAAAATTCGTTCCAATGGTGCCCAAAACTAAACAGCCCTGGGCGGGTCTGTTTTCCCACGTGTTGGAAGGACTCCTAAGGTCCCTCCCACTTTTGACCCTTCAGAATTCTGAAGGAACAAACGCTTGCCCCGGGGCTCCTGTGGGTTAGGGAATGGACCACAAGATCCGAAACGCTCGAACATTAGGCAAACAGTGCCAGGATTCCCACGGCCCTCATCATTCCTCCACGGCCCCGCTCCCCGCCACTACCAGCGTGGAGATGCGCTTACCCAAGGCACAGGCCATGGCGGAGCCCACCAGGCCTCCCCCCGACACCACGACATCATACACGGTGTCTGCCGAGGTGCCGGCCCATCTCCGGCAGGAGACCAGCAAGCCTCTCCGGGCAGCAGCAGAGGCAGCCCCCCACCGGCTCCCAGCCAGCCGGGCCGCCATGGAGTTGACCTGAGCTATAGTTCGGGCCTGGTTAGGCCCGCCTCCGGTCGCTCTTCCGGAGCAGAACCCTCCAGTCCCGACCGCTTGAGCCACCGCCTCAAAACCGGAAGTAGAACATGCAAGCGAGTAGGCCAATCAGAAAACGATCCTTGCCTGCTTGGGCGGGCTGGATTAGAGGCTGTCTGGGAAGGAGACTGGTTCATGTATCCCCCTGGGAGCCAATCAGAGGCCCAAACTAGAAAGGGGTGGAACCTGACTCGCGTAGCCAGCGCCGCAACCGCGGCTGTCACTGCTGCAGTCTCCGCCAATTCTGTCTCTGCCTGGCTGAGAAGATGACCGTGGGGAGGCCTGCGGGAGCCTCCGACGGCGCTCAGTGGAGCCGTCAGGTGAGGAGAGAAAAAGAAGGGGAGCAATCAGGTCTGCGCCCGGAAAGGAATCCCTACGAAAGGAAACTGTTTGACGTTGCCTTGGAGACAGACGGGCGGGCGTGTCACAGGGGTGTGGGATTGAAACTAACAGCCTTTATGGGCGCAGAGGTGGACTCAACTCTGGCACCTGAACCGCTAGGGCCTTACGTCAGGCTCTTCATAGAACCATAGCGATGGCCCTCAGTGTTCGCTTGTGCTCTCAGCCACCCCAGGACTAACAGCACGATTGTTGTCTCCATTTTGTAGAAGAGAAAACTGAGGCACAGAGAGATTAAGAAATTTGCCCTCAAATCCATAGAGACAGAAAGTAGATTGGTGGTTGTTTAGGGCTGGGGGCGAAGGGAGTAAGCGTTAGGAGGGTTGGGGAAAATAGGGAGTGACTGCTAACTTAAAGTGGGTCTCATTTGGGGGTGATTAAAATTATTCAACATTGATTGTAGTGATGCTTGCACAACTTTGAATATACTGGAACACAATGAATTGTACGCTTTAAGTGAATTATATGGTGTGTGTGAATCATATCAATAAAGTCGTTTAAATTTTTTTCCCCTAAAATCACACTCTTCAGTAGCAGAGTAAGGGCTAGAGAACATACATACCTTTGACTCAGAATCCAGTGCTCTTTTCAGTATTAGAGCTGGACCTTAAAGAACCCAGTTAAACCATCATCATAGGTCACTTGGAGGCCTGCAGTGGCCTGCCCCCAACTGGTTTCCAGCTGCAACCAGTCATCCTGTGAAGTCCCATCTGGCCTCAGCCTGCCTCTCTAAGAATATCTCTCGCTACTGTCCTCCAACCACACTGGCCCTCTTTCTGTTTCTCCATGAGTCAGATTTGTTTCGGCCTCAGGTCCCTGCCTCAAGGCCTTCACATTTGCTTTTCTTTGAACCCAAAATCCTCTTAGCCCAGATCTTAGTAAGGTTGGCTTTTTCATCAGACGTCAGTCTAAAACTCCTCCACAGTGAGAAAGTAAAAATCATACCAGGACTGCAGAAGTACAACTCAGACTGTAATAGACCCAGATGAGGCCAGCAGCAAGATCAGCAGAAAAGTGTTTCTCACAGGGCCACAATGTATCTGCAATATAATATCCCTTGCTTTTAAATAATTGTACTTACCTATCAATTATTTACCCAGACCTACTTTGTTCTTGTCACCTTTTGAATAAAAATTGCTCAGTCACCCACTTACTAAATTGTGCCCTCTTCACGACAGTGTCCATTCAGAGTTGATCCCTGCTTCCCCTAACGCTCCTTAGAATCATTCAGGACAAGCCAACCCTGGGAAAAAACCTCCAACCCTAGAAAAAAGCCCCCATTCCCCACCAAATTCCCTATATATATTCCCTATATATAATTTCCTGTGGTATACTGTATAATGTATACATTACAGATACATTCCTAGTGGTCTTTATGTGATGTGCTTCTATCAACAGAAAGGCTTCTCATAGCCACTCCATCACTCCATAATCTCACAGTTTTATGGCTTCCATTGAATTTATTATCATTTTATTGTCTGTCTCCCTTCACTAGGATGTAAGCTTCATGAGAGTAAGAACTTTCTTTGTCTTGTTCTCAGCCTAATGCCCTAATTCACATTAGGCACCCAATATTTTCTGAATGAATGGAGCATTTAAACCCTGTTGGGTTTCCCACTTTCTAGGACTCTTTCAGCTATACCACATTGTCTCTCCTATTAATTACTCATTCATAGTAACAGTGGAAATTAGCCAGAATATGAGTAAAGCAGAGGTGTAGACAGTGAAAGGGGGAAAAGGAAGATTGGCAACAAGTAGGTAAAACCCAAGTAGGACCTGGCCAAGGTCACAAGTAGGATTCCTGGAGTGCAGGGGTGCATGGTGAAATAAGGTACTCTGTAAATGCTCACCACACTGCATGAACCAGCTTTAGCTCTCTGCTTCCCTTTCCTGCCCTTCCACCAGGCACATCCCAATATGTGAAATTTCTTTAAAGCAGGGAACACATTTTTCTTTGTTTCTCCCCACTCCCTAATATACAGAGCCTTATTTAAAGTGAAATTAATGGTTATGTTTTGAAATTATTGTTTGACTCACAGTCTATTCTATTTCATTTTAGATATTTCCCCCCAAATCCTCCTCAGACACAGAGGCAGAAGAGGAGCTGTCTGGGGATGGGCTGGTTTTGCCCAGGGCTGGCAAGCTCAGTGAGTTCCTCAGCTCAGAGGAGGAAACAGATTCTACTTCTGACTCAAGTGGGAGCTTTTACGAGACCCTGCAGGCTCTAAGGCAAAAGGGCAGGTGGTGCCTTTTGGAATCCCTTTGTCCATCTGACCCAGGCAGTGGTGAGAGCCTGTCTGAAGATGATGAGGACCTGGAGAGTTTCTTCCAAGACAAAGGCAGGGGGAAGCCGCAGGTGCAGTGCCCTCCGTCTCCGAGGTAAGGCGCTGCAGTTCAGCTGCCTCACTGTGTACTACTCTGGCCAAGTCACATTGTGACTCTGGGCCTCATCTTCTTCCTCAGTAAAACAAAGACCACTTCTACAAGTTGCCACCTACCCAGGCTCCAGCTCAGAATCAGCCAAACATGTGTTCTGATGCCTGCCCAGCAGTCCTAAATCACTTTGGGTAATCCTTAGTCACCTGAAGCTTTGGAATCAATATGAGATGCCCTTCCCAAGTCTCTCCCTGAGAATGGTAACCAGGTCCATTTTCCTTGGCCAAGCCCTGCTATATGCGTGTATACTTTATCTCATTTAATATTATTTTTGCCATTCTACAGTTGAGGAAATTGAGGTTCCAAAAGAACCTTGCTCAAGGTCACACAGCTGGTAATTGTTTGAAGCGAGATTTGAACCTGGGCCTGACTCTAAAGCCCTCCTCTGCATTATTGCTCTCTTCTCTCTACCAGTTGAAAATATTAGAGCGTATGTGGGAATTCTTGGATCAATTCTGAGAAGAGACTTCCTACTAGGGCGGCTAGGATGGCCTGCGGGAGAGAGGGAGGCCCAGTTGAAAAAGATGCAGGCCTAGAGACCTGTGGGTCTGTGATGAGAAAGTAACTGCGATCTACTGGAAGGGAGGAGCAGGGAGAAGGATCTGGGAAGAGCCGGGCCTGGCTGCCCTGTCCTCCATGCACAGAGCTGCCTTCTCCCCCCAGGTGTGGCTCCATGAGGCGCTGCAGCTCCTTGAGCAACCTGCCCTCCGACGTTCCCAAGGTTCAGGCTCAGCCACCCTTGGGCTCCAGGCCTCCCTCCCAGCACAGAAGCATCAGTTCCTGGGCCTCATCCATCACCGTCCCTCAACCGTTCCGTATGACGCTGCGTGAGGCCAGGAAGAAGGCCCAGTGGCTGGCCTCTCCTGCCTCCTTTGAGCATGAGAGGCAGCAAGCCCAGAAGCAGGGCCAGGAGGAGGCCGAGTGCCACCGGCAGTTCCGGGCACAGCCTGTGCCTGCACACGTCTACCTGCCCCTCTACAAGGAGATCATGGAGCGCAGCGAGGCCCGAAGGCAGGCAGGGATCCAGAAGAGGAAGGAGCTGCTTCTCTCTTCCTTGAGGCCCTTCAGCTTCCTGGAGAAGGAGGAGCAGCGAAAGAAAGTCGCTCAACAGAGGGACTTGGCCACCACAGCTAAGGCCAAAGTCCCCAGGCAGAAGGCCACCAGAAGGATCCCCAAGTCCATTCTGGAGCCAGCCCTCGGGGACAAACTCCAGGGTAAAGACATCCTTGCTGCCCCACTGCCTACTCTCTGGGGGTACCAAGCAGTGCTGTGGAGATTTAGTCAGGCTCTGGGTCAGCGTGACTTAGAGATGAGCTGTTCAGGTGGACCCGCTAAAGGCTACACTCAGTGCAGACCACAGGCTAGGGTTGGGGGTCTCTGTACAGTGGGGGCACCTAGTCAGGAGAGAGGAGTGAGAGGTCCTACAGCACCCCCAGTTCATCCTGTGACCTCTGTCTCAGAGTGGATGAAAGGCCTCTGGCAGCACAGGTGCCAGAGCAGAGAACCAATGAGACATCTGAGGGCCAGCGTAGGCCAGTGCCACCACCAGCCAGCTGCCCCCAGGAAAAGCCCCTCCCCCATCCTGTGAGGTACTCATTTCAAAAAGTATAGCTCAGTTAAAGGGCTCAGGCCCTATTCACTCATTCAGTAAAATGTGCTACCCACCAGGGGTGAATAAACAGACATGGGAGGGAGACAGGTGATAGACAACTAATTACAAATGTGATAAGTCACTTGCAGGGATTAAAGGGATTAAAGGGGGAAGCCTAGGGATCCTATGGAGCATGTAACAGGGACCTGACTTAGTGTGGTGTGGCGTGGGAACAGTTAGGGAAGGTCCCCAGGGAAAGTGAGCACTAAGGCTGACCCTGAAGGATGAGCTGTGGTGAATTCGGTGAAGAGGGAGGCAGAGTGTATCAGGCAGGGGTAATAGCATGAAGAGAAAGCTGAGCATATTCAAGGCACAAAAAGGAGAGGGTAGAAATAAGGAGAGCGTAGGGAGGGAGAGACTGGCACAGGCCAGACCTGGGGCCTTGAAGGCCATGGGAGGGAGTTTGGACTTCATCCCAAGGGCAGTGCGGAGTCACTGAAGGGTTTTAAGTAGAGTGGCTCATAATCAGATATGCAGTTCAGAAAGCTCACTCTGATTTCTGTGGAGATAATTCAAGGGGGATGGGCACAATGGGAAGCATGGTGATCTATTTCAGTAATTCAACTGAGAAATTATGAAATTAGTAGCAGAGAGGATGAAAAGAACCTGGGCCAGAGAGAGGTTAAAGAGGAACCTGTGACTGATGAGATGAGAGAGGGAGGAGCCAAGAATGATGTGGGCAGTGGGCTTGGGCAATTGGGTGGATGGTAGGGCCTCTGCCTGAGATGGAGAGACCTGGGAAAGGACCAGGTGACCGGCCCATCTCTCCTGCTTTGTCTCTGAAGAAAGAACTATGGAGGGCACTCAGTAAGTGTAAATAGTAGCTGCTTCTGCAGCCTGATTGGCACATAGCAGTGGTGTCCTGGTCATTCATTAAGGAGCTCTCCAGAAAGAAAAAAAAAAGCAAGCTGATTTGTAATGTTTGCCATTTTCTGTGGTATAAGTACTCCTATCCTGGCCAATTTCAAGCTTCCAACATGATGCCAACTGGCTCACAAAATTCCTGAAAAGTGATTGATTGGCTCCAGCCAGCACACTAACTGTGAGTGTTTAAAAGAGGAAAAGTTCTCTAAACCTCCTGGTATGAGGCTTGGTCCCCGCTCACCCACCATCACTACAACTTCTTCTCCACAGAAGCTGAGCTCTTGAGGAAAATTCGCATCCAAATGAGAGCCCTGGACATGCTCCAGACAGCCTCCTCCCCCATCGCCTCCTCCAGGAGCCGGACTGACCCACGGCCTCGAACAGCCTCCCGAACCCAGGAGGAAAAGCTTGGCTTTCTGCATACTGACTTTGGATTCCAGCCTCGGGTGAATCCTGCTGTTCCTGACTATGAAGGCCTTTACAAGGCCTTCCAGAAAAGAGCTGCCAAGAGAAGAGACACCCGGGAGGTGACTCGCAACAAGCCCTTCTTGCTGAGAACCGCCAGCCCGCGTCGCACTCAGAGGCCCTGTGATGCCGCTGCCTCTGAAGGGAGGAGGGTGAGAGGCCAGGCCGCTGTGGGAGGGTCAGGGCTGAGGCTGAGATACAGGGTGGAGGGCACTTCTCATGATATTTTCTGTCTTAATTTTTTTTAAAAAACACTGGCTCAGCTGTAAGCAGATTCACAGTTCCTAAAAATTTAAGACCACAAGAATACTTCCCTTCCTTCCCTCTCTAAAGAGGGATTTTTCAGAAATAAATCCAAGCAAGTCTGGGAGTAGGGAGTTGCCATGTCCCAATACCAATTCCAAAGAACTCTTCTCATTTAATCAAAAACTCAGAGACTGATATCCAAGTCTTGGCCCTGTTACTAAATTCAAGATCGCACTGCCTTTGCCTTAATCCCAAGAAAGAAATGAAGATTCTGTCTGCCTAGTCCTTCACTGAAATTAAATTCTAGTTAAGATAGAAACTAATTGCCCAGGCTGTCCCACCAATATCAGCCTTCATTTCTTCTAGGAATCTCCACAGCCACCTGCCACACCCCTGCCAAGGAGTCATTCTCTGAGTGGCCTTGCTTCCCTCTCTGCTAACACCCTCCCTGTGCACATCACAGATGCCACCAGGAGGAGGGAATCTGCAGTCAGGTGAGTGGTCAGGCTGCAAGAGACTCACAATGCTCGGATCTTGACCCAAATACTGGAAAGCACTCCGCTGCTGGACCTCCTCTCCTGTTATCAGAGAGACCAAAGGGGTGAAGGGGATTCTCTGATCAGGAACGCACATGACCTTCCACGCTCAGTGCTGGAGGACACCTAGCCATCACTCAGCAAATATTCTTTGTGCCAGGCACAGTTTTAAGGCTGGAGATGATACCTTATGGAACCTATAGTTTAATATATCTAGTCTGAAATACAGAAAAGCAAAAAAAAAGCAATATCATATCTTGTGAGTAGTACAATGATGGGGGAATACAGGGAACCATGGGGGCATTGGGCAGCCTAGGGCAGCAGTCTCTTGTAATAGATGTCTAAGGTGAAACCTGAAGAATAAGGAGTCAGCCAAAGGCTGGAAAGAAAGAAATTTCCAAACAGAATAACATGGGTGAAAGACGAAGGAAGCCATTAGGAACAGGAATTCAGAGCAGCACAACGGCAGAGGGCTGACCCTGCTACAAAGAAGGCGAGGCATCCATTGCACATATTTGAGATTCTCTTGATGTTCACCTTGGGGAACTATTAGAAGTTGATTGGGAAGCAGGAGCCTCCTTATTTTTAACTCTTTAACTGACCTAACTCTCATACTGGTGTTCTTATCCAGCCAGCTTTCCAACAAGAGTTCCTCCACTAGGCCTCTAAGCTGAAGTCAGAAGAAGAGGTCATGGTGTAACAAGCGGCTTGGCCCTGAGAGATGACTAGCATCTCAGTGCCTTCCTGTGGGGCTCACAGAGGAGTACACAGAATCTACTTGGCTCTTTAAGACCCACAACAGGGATTTTAGAAATGAATTTAGAATCCAAGGGATACTCCCTTCTTCCTCAAATTTCATAGCCAGAGCTCTAAATCAAGGCTAAATGCATCAGTATTCAGAGGTCCCACTAAGATAGGGTTCATGAACCAGAAGTTGGCCCACCTACAGAGGATATCCACATCCGCATCCTAGCGATAGGGAGTTGACATATTAGCAGATTAAACTTTCGTGCCCTCCTTCCCAATAGGTCCATTTGAATATAAACACCCAAATGCATGTAAGAATATTTTAAGTTACATGTTTTTCAGTTCAATTAATGAACTTCTCCTGGGGTAGAAACTCACTGTCTTTAGTGCTGGGAAGGCTTCGTCTACCAGTGCATATAATCCCAGAATCTTAATTCTTTCTGAAATGCCAGTGTGGTAAATCACTCACTCTTTCAAAGAAAACACCAACTGACTTTCCAGAGAGGTAACTTACATTGCTTTTGAGTATGCTCAAGTTGCTCATCTGTATTCTTTTCTTTTTTTCCTGACCTCTTCCCATTAGAATTTCACTTGAAAAAAAGGACAAAGCAAATGAGAGTACTCACTGGTTGGAGATGCACAAAAAGAAGTGTCAATCAATATCTAAATCCGTGACCTTGCGTGCAAAAGCCATGGATCCCCATAAAAGTCTGGAGGAGGTGTTCAAAGCAAAGCTGAAAGAGAATCGGTCAGTGTCCTCCATGTGTCAAAGGGATAACTGTCTTGGGAGCCAACAGGTCATTGGCCTTGAAAATGGCAAAATGGGATTATTACATCAGGCTCCTGTAATCTCACAGAACCAAGGATTTTTCCAGGCACAGTTAGGAATTTACAATGTCTGTGGGAGTTATTCTGCTTAACTGGAATGAAGGGCATTCTGGATTGGCAAAAGGCAGAATTTGTTCTAAAAATCTTGCTAATTCCAGGAACAATGACCGTAAAAGAGCAAAAGAGTATAAGAAAGAATTGGAGGAAATGAGGAAGAGAATACAAGTAAGGCCCTATCTCTTCGAACAAGTTACCAAGGTAAATCTAAACCATCATTCTTTTTCTTTCGTCTTGGATGAAAGGGCTCTTAGAAATTTTGAAACAGTTTAATATCTGGATATTAGAGATTTCCTTTAGTTTCAGAAAGATTCTAAATCTGGCTCATTTTATTACTGCCATCTATCCCCAAACGTTGTTTGGATTGATTTCATCCGAGACTGGATTCCAAAGGCATCTATAAAGGGATAATTTACTTCCTGGGGTTTTCACTATAGCCTAGCTTTCAGTTTGAATCAGAGTGGAGGTTAGATCCCAGAAACACAATTGACAGTTTGGCTGTGTTAAGAGTATCTTTAACTTGCTAATGTCATCTCTCTTCTGCAGTGCTGGTGCCCTGGGCATCCCCAGCCTCTACAGCTGTGGCACACATGTATGTCTCCAGGGGTTGGGGTGCTCCCAAGCACCCAACAAGGCCTTTTCCAGAATAAGTGGCTTTCAGGCTGGAAGAATTCCTTTAAGATATTCCCTAGACTTTTAGGGAAGTCGGACTCAGCTGACATCCCTACAGAAGCTAGGGGCTACTTGAACAGCCTTAGAAAGGCCACCATCCCAAGGCAGCTTTGGGCTGCATCAGGCTCTGTAGATCTCTCTCCTGTCCAGAGTTTCAGAAAAAAGTTAGGATTCCCTAGTGACCTGGTTCCAAATGCTGGGCACTATCTGTCTTATAGCCAGGGCATTGTTTAGGTATTTCCTGGGTCCAGTCCTCCCCAACACACTCACACACATGCTGGACTGTCTTGGATTTACTTAGCAACTTGCACTCTCTCATACTAACCTTTGCTCTTTATGTTAGCTTTTTTAAAGCAAGCTAACTCTCAGATCTCAACAGATATCTCACTACTCTAGGAAAAATACAAAGTACTCTATGTGATTTTGCTCTTGAACACTTTAAACAAACTTTTTTGGTCTACCATGCAGACCATCCATCCTGTTAATGTCACCAGTGCAGTGTTATTTTTGTATTTTCAATTTGTTATATTTTTAAGTTCCTAATGATGGTGTGGTTGCTTCTAAATCTTAAAATGCTTTTAGTCCATCTTTTTCATTTGGGTCTCACTTGGTCTTCCAGAAATCTAAATACTTGCCTTTCAAAGGTGTGGCTCCCAAATCAACAGTTGGCATCTCCTGGGAGTACTAGAAATACAGAATTCCAGGCCCCATCTGAAACCTACCAAATGAGAATCTAATTTTAACCCGATCTTCAGATAGTTCCTTTGTACTCTAAAGCTTGAAAATAAGGCTCCAAGTAATTTTCATGCAAATCTGTGCCCAGCACTAATGGGGGTTGGGGTGGGGTGGGAAAGCAGTATTGTTAAGCAAGCAATTTAGAATTATCTGGTAATTCAGCTATGGCAGATTAACTTCCATTCCTCAGGACCTTGCCAGGAAGGAAGCAGAACAGCGGTATCGAGACACCCTGAAGCAGGCTGGGCTGGACGAAGACTTTGTGAGGAACAAGGGTCAGGGTCACCGGGCTTTACAACGGAGGGAGCAGTCAAAAGTCCATGATTGTCCCAGGTAACTGCAGATACTGCGGTCATCCTGCAGCTCTTAAACTGCATCTCTAGTAATGCCACTGGGAGGAAGCTTTAGAACAGTCACTCATATTTTGAGATCACAATCCTATAGTACTGAGTACTGATCAAGAGATCTCTAAGTAACACATTTAAAGTTGGTGAATAAAATATAACCACTGGATGTTAGGTTTAGATTCCTTCGGTTTGAAACAGATCATTTTTCCAATTCCAGTCCAATGCCATCAGTCAAAAGTACTTCCACTTCACCTTTGAAGAAAAATCGTGTATATATTTTACTTCCTCTAAAATGGTACACTTTATTTATTTACTGGGTAAGTAAAGGTAAAACTCTCTATAGAGCCACAATAAAAGCTCGAATATCCTGAACAAAGCCTTTCTTTTCCCTTCAGCTTGGTTCACCATGGCTTGTTAAAATCTAGCACTTTTTAAAAGTAACTCATTAGCACCACCCCCTCCACTGGTGTCTTATAAGGCAAAAGGAGAAAAGCACAGTCTCTCTACTATTCTCAATTTCTTTTTCTTTTTAAGTCCTAATAGCCCTTCCCCTAATTCCTATCTGTTTTCCTCCTAGAAATTTGCCTTTACACCCCATACAAAATAATGATAATGTTGAAACCATCCTTAAGCCTGACATAATGCTTTCTCAAAATTTTTAAGTTTTATAATGCTCTAATTTATTCTGCAGCATTAATGAAACTACAAAACTCGGCATCAGGAATCCACAGCAGGATTTAGAAGAATCTCTAGAACCGCCTACAAACCCCAAGAAAGAACTGGAGCAGCTGTCTTAGGAGTTACCAGATAATCTCCGCTTTTGAATAATATCAAGTAGCTAACTTGGGGTTGAGTCAAGGCAGGCAAAACTTGGGTTTTGAGTCATGGTTACTTTTGGAGAATGGGGAAAAGAAAAGTAGATAACAGAATGGTTCAAGTAAATCAAAGTGAAGCAGCTCAGTGAAAGAATCAGAGCTGACTAAGGGTTTTTGCTTTGTGCCTCACACTTAAGCGTAGAGGTCCAGAAAAAAGGGCACAAGCCCAGTACCTACAGGGGCTGGTCAAGAAACAGATGGGTCGAAACAGCTGGCTGTAAGACAGCAGGAGACAGCAGAGACTGGAGACTATCAACCCTGCTGGAATACAGACCCAGAATTGCCAGATAAACCACATTTTCAACAGAACCAGAAATCTGCATGTTGGCAACTAATTTATAAATTACTTAAAAAAAAATGTGTGGGCAAAACAAAACATTTATATATCAGGTTTAGCCCATGGGGGATGACAAGTTTGCAGCCCCTAATACAGGATTTCTCAGCCTCAGCACTGTTGACATTTTGGGCCAGAGGAGCCTTTGTTGGGTGTTGGGAGACAGAGCTATACACTGTAGGATGGTTTGCAGCACCCCTGGCCTCTACTCACTAGATGCCAGTAGCACCCTCTCCCCACTTGTGACAACCAAAAATGTCTGCAGATATTGCCATAAGTCCCCTGGGTAACAAAATGTTCTCGGTTGAGAACCACTAGTCTAGTATAAAATAAGGTTACTGAAAGCCAAAACTGGCATTTTAAGAATACAAGTAATTAATATGAACTCAGTCTATGTAGGACAGGATGATTATACATGTCATTAACAAATTAAGAACTATAATTATTTTATTTAAAACAATATTAATTCTTTGCTGTTAATCTGTTTAGAATGTGCCACTGTGTCCATGTGTGTATTGTATCAGCATGAAGTTTATTTTAATAAATTTGAAACCTCTAACAGCCATGATTTTCTACTAGTCAGTGATCTTTATTTTTCTTTCCACCAATAATTTAGATATTCTCTCTCAGTAACTCTAAAGGCAGGATGATAGCAAGAGTGCCTGCTGTAACAGAATAACCTTTCTCATGCTTTTTAAACTGTCTTTCTTGCAATATTAAAAAATATTAAAAAAAATCACCAGATGGTCCTTTCTGGTGATGACAAGCGTGATACTCCGATAACTACCATGTGGGTTTGCTAGTTGGAGATGAAGATGCTCATGCCATGTTCCCTAAGACTCCTGAGCTCAGTTTTTACCTGCATGGACTCCTAAGGGTAAATCAGTCCCCTACATTAAAGGGAAAGACTGAACTATTTTCTCAATCTCCTAAGAAAAATTTTGTTTAAAACAAGGAGCCAAAGAACTGACCAACTGTTTTGTTTATTTAAAGGAAAAGCCATTGTTCTGAATCATGTGATTTTTAACTTAAAAACAAAAAACAAACAACCTCTTAACATGCTACTGTATGTTCCATGTTCCATAAACAAAGAAAGCAAAATGGCCAAGTAGAGGTGTACAGGGCAAGATAGTACCTCAGCCTGGGCCAAGCAGGGATTCAAGTAATTAATTTTTTGCAGCCCAGTGGCGGAGAGTTTCTTACTCAGGTTGCTAAAGGGAGAATGTCACAACAGAACTGACATTACTCCCTTCTCCAAAGCAACAAGGCATCTTGAAAGCTCAACTTCTTGGTGAAGTTTTATGGTTGGTGGCAGGATTTAGTTCACCCATATGAAAACTCTTCATAGGAAAACCGCCCCTCAACAGTCATACTGGGAAACTTCAGCCAACACGTAATCAAATTCACTTTTGGGAGAAATCCATCCCAAAAATTCTGCAGTGGGAGGAGAGGTAGGTACATTTACCCAGCCCATATTCACTGCTTTCTTCCTTGTCTGAATGAAATGGTAGTTGAAGAGAAGCTCTCCTACATTCATCTTCTATGTCAGGAAAGATGAGCAGAGGCAAAAACAAGGTCCTATCCTTCACAGATTGATTTTGGTTCCGGCATAGTGTGAGCCATAAGCATCCTGTTCCCACTATATGCACTCTGGGATCAGACAGAGCTACTCTTCCAGCAGTCAGCACCCATGCTCATGTCCGTCTTTCACTTAAATCTCCTTGGTTTAGTAACTGTAAGAGATTAAAAACAAATCCAGAGTAGGTTACCACTGAATAATAAGAAAAATAGGTCATACTAAAATGAAAGGTTTACAATTAGGTTTACAATTAGAAGTGAGGAATGTACTGCAGGGTGAGTCAGGGATATCTATTTCCAAAGCAGGAGACATGCATAAACTAACAGCTCTCATTTATATACTGGCCTTGGGACAGCACTTGGGCCACTTTATGATGCTGGCATTTCCACTAGGGCAATAAAAATATCCTGAGTCTATAAGCCAAACTGCTGTTCGTGTAATCACATCCTCACTAGTCAGTGATGGAGGAATCTGTAACTCACAGGGAAATCAGAAATGGTGGAACCAAAAAACTTTTATCAGTCTGTGTTAGCTGAAGGCTCAAGGAGAAGTAAAAGGAATGGAAGGCTACTCTCAGTGAGTTCTCTATGAGAGAAAAAAATATAAATAAAAAAAAATTCAGGGGTTCCCTGGGCTTAAAAAAAACTTTTCCTGTGATGAGGCAAGACAAGCCTGAGACTCTCCAACAGGGTGGTAGCTACCATGGACATTCTACTTTACACTCAGGGTTCCTGCTGAAAGGTGGTTTTGCATACTAATTGATGAAATTTGGTTCCAATTTATTATGAAAAGAAAATGAGATGGGAATAATACAGTGTAAACAATAAAAAATGATGTAGGTTAAAATCTCATCTGATAAATTCTTGTGCTGAGATGTATTTACTTGGTGATCTTAATTTAGATGAAGGTAATTTATATAGTAGAATTTAATGATACAGACTTTTTAAAAATTTAAAGAAACATTTAAAACTTAAACCACAGATTTCATCTGATGCTGTGTAGTAAAGATGTAAGAATGGAATGTTTTTAATCTAGACCAAGATCCAGATGTTTGCACTCAAACTTAGCAATGGCACTCTATGAGAACTGCTAAAAGAATGTGTCATTTCTGTTTTCCTCCTTGTTTTATTTGGGAAATATTCTATGGTACAGTCAAAGCTACCTGGCAATCACTTATATTGGTTCCTGAGTTTAAGAATGTGAACTCGGTGTGGCTATGAAACCGTATTTGGGATGACCTTCAGTCCACAGGAGATCCAAAAGCCCCAGAGTTTCAGCTGGGCCTGCACAGTGAGTCCTCTGATTCTCAGAAGACCAGCCACACTGAGGGGAAATCAGAACTGTCCAGTCTGAGCCATATGAGAGAGAGTCACCTTGCAGTTTTTCATGTATTTTCCATAATATTTTCTGATACTTGATTTTTCGTTCTCTGATATTCTTAATAAGTTATTTTTATTTTTAGAGCGTATTTATAGGAGTCCAAATAGAAGTGCATCAGCAGATTCTTACAGGTCTGACCTACAATGCCTGGTGATCTTTAAACAACAATAATGGGCATGTGGCATCTTCAGGGTTGCTACTGCCTTCTCCTTCTCTGGCATCTGAGAAACCCTAAGGAATCAACATTCCTCACCCACTGAAGGAATGGTCTGTTAGTACCTAGACCCTGGATGAGGAAACAAAGCCTGGAGCCTTCAGTGGCTTAGAGTTTGAAAAAAGTGAAGGTACTGGAGGATGTAATAAGCCTACCTTGAGAAGGAAAAGGAGGAGATGAGCAGTGGAAATGCCTTGGTAAGAGGAAGATAATAATGGTAATAGTAAAGGAAACACAAAAGGAGTGAGGCTGAGAGAGGCTGTATTTGTAAATACACAGGGACCCATGAGGAAGAAGTGATAGTGCAGGATTTTCAGCTACATCTAAGGGCAGCACTTTGCTCTCTGGGTTGTTAAATATTTTTTCTATTAAATGTCTGAGGCCCTTTGTATCCTTCTAGGGTGAAGACCAAGTTTTCTTTTGTTTATTTTTTCTTAGGTAGCCTGTGTTACTGTGTCTGCCTGAGGCTGTGAGTGAGCATCACCTAGACAAGGACACTCTAAAGCCAATTCTAGGTTCAAGAGAATAAATGCACTATTACTGGACTTTCTGCATACACAAACCTGACAACGTCATACCCCGTTTAAAACCAGGCAGTGGCTCCCCAAATGCCCCAGGATTAAGTCACATCCTGTAAGGCCCTTCAAGAGAGGGACCAGCTTGTCCTTCCTGCTCTCATTTTCCCATTCCACACCCATCTCTCCATTCCATGTCCATCACACTCAACCCTTTGTGATTCCACAGTCGTGCCCTGCTCCCTCTTAACTTCTGCCTTTGTATACACCGCTACCTATATGCTGGTTAAATTTCTTCCAGTTCCTCCCACTTCTCCATCAGGATGATCGCTAGTCATCCCTCAGGTCCCAAGTTAAACTCTAAAACTTATTCCCTGATTTCCCCCAAGACTAGCATTACTGCCTGTATAAAAATTGCCAGTTTATTAATCTGTTGCCCTTCTCCAGGGGCACCATTTACATAGTTATAAAAGGTAGAAGTTAGTTAGTCCTAACTCTGACTGTAAGCTCTTTGAGGCAGAGATTGTATTTTATTTACTACTGTATAACTAGTACCCAGGAGGGTGCCTTGCACACATCAGGTACATAATGTCTGTTGAATGAATTAAGTTTTCTTTTAATATACATTTTTATTAAAGTATAGTTAGTTTACAATGTTGTGTCAATTTCTGGTGTACAGCACAGTACTTCAGTCATCTAGGAATATACATGTATTTGTTTTCATTGAATTAAGTTTTTATAAATCTGGCATTTATTTGGAGTAACATGGAGTGCTTCAATAAAAAAAGGTATTTAGCAGTCTGAGAGAGAAAATCTCCAAGATTTCAAATATAAAAAAAGAAAATGCTGAGTGTTGTGGATTGGTTTGTCAGGATAATTTGTACTAGGTACAAAGAGAGGGGGATGATTTTTCTGAACTATTTCAGAGCAACCCAATAGTTAATGAAAGTATTTCTTTTATAGAAAAATCAGTTAATAAAAGCATGTGGGTAAGAGAATTAGGATATCACCATTTGCAAGCCCTAATGAAAAAACAGATCTAGGCCATGATTAGTAACAGTTGTCAAAACTTTAACATAACCCACTTGTCAACCCTGAGATCAGTAAGACACATCATGTGTCTCCTGATGGGATGTAGTAGGAAGAGTACCACCCATGAAATACTCTTGCCAAGGGTTAAAAACAATCATGAATCTAATCAAGCCTCTAAATGTAACCACCGGTTTTTAGGAAATCTGTGGGTAGAGAAATATATCAAATAAAAAAGGAGTTAATCGGCCAAAAACCAGAATATGGGAAATTCTACAAGACAAATAACCTAATTCCTTAAATAGATAGCCACTGAAAAAAGAGGGGGAGGACTATTAGCGATAAAGAGAATTATTAACCAAATGCAATGTATAGACCTTGTTTGAATCCTAATTCAAACCAACCAACCATACAAAGATACTTTTGAGAAAAAAATGAAAAGGCAAGGTATTAGAGGATATCAATCAGTAAATTATTGTTAATATTGTTGGGTGTGATACAACTATAGTTATGAAAAAATCTTTAGCTGTTAGAGGTACATATTGAAATATTTACAGATGAAATTTTATGTCTGTTATTTGATTTAAAATACTCCAGCATAAACAAAACAGCAACAAAAACAGTAGGAGGGAAGATACAAGAGTAATAGAGAGTTAATTGTTGACGATGGGTGACAGGTACATGGGTCCATTATACTATTCTCTTTCTCACTAAATATGCTCTTTGAAAACTTCCATAATAAAGATTTTTAAACAGATAAATGAAGAGGGCTAAAAATAAAGGCAAAGCACTTAGAGAAGGCAACATAGGAAAGAACCAATGATACCAATAACAAAAACTTTCAATATAACAAGCAAGAGTGAGACAGAGTGTCACAATGATGAATACAAGGACAGGTCCTGGTAGACACATTAACATGCACACCCAGAGCCTTTTGATCCTGGGTATCCTCAGGAATATTACAGAAAAATTGAGAATATTCAATATAGGACGCAGAGTCATTTCAATGCTATAGTCAGCCACAGCTAACTGTGGTCTGAAGGTTATAATGAAAGGAAAAGGGAAAAGACAGGAGTGCACCCTGAAAGATACTATAATACTGAAAGGATCCAGGCTACACAGGTTTTTGGCAAAAGCCTATGCCTAAGAAACAAGCACGTGATGAAGTCATCTGTCTCCGTGATGTGGGCCAATGAAATATCCTAAGATTTTAGAAGCCTGACTGGTTTTCATTCTGTTTTCTGGGTCAGAGCCAAAACCATAGGGTTAGGAGTGCTCAGAATCAACCTAAAGCCCTCTTAGATTTAAATGATGTTTCTTATTCAACAACAAGCAAGTAAACACATTCCTATACGCTCAGTTGGTTCAGCCCGATATCTCCCAGATACATGACCCTAGTAAAATGAATGATAATTATTAATGATTTTGTCACTACCTTCTTACTCAAGGAGCACTCTACTCTGTCTCAAGATGTTATTTTCTTTATAAAGCAGCATCCTCATCGCAAGGGAGGCAGAGAGCAGTAGGAGCTGATCTCACTTAATTAAGGCATGTGTATAAAGGAAATTAGAGTTGAGGGTCCCAGCTGTGACTGATCAAGCTCCCAGTTCAGGAGACTCTAACACTAGGGCTCCTTTCAAAGCTGGACTCATGCTTAGCTTAAGGGAAG